TCATCTGTAGAGGTTTTGTTTACCACCTGGTTTCCTAGCAACACATCCTCGCTGTTCCACCATTGGCTCAGAGCCTGGCGTGCGAAGACTGGGGCACGCGCACTATGCTTAGGCCTGTTTCTGTTCAATTGAGTATGCAAATGTTTAAAGTTTATTTGTGCTGCGGGGTCAAACTTTATCCGTACCTGTATCCTTTGTTAAATTAACAGTCTTCCTTAAATAAGCAATTAGTGTCAATATATTTATGACTTAAACAAAAAGCTGGGTAATGACCAGTAGTTGTGGATTCAAGACCACAAAGGTTCATCTTTGTTCACCCCATTATCTCAAGGTGACCACAAACAGTCACATTAAACATTGATAACGAACTCAAGTGAGGCGCTGAAGGTCAATGGTTGTAATCTCATGAAATGTCCACCGATACGCCTCGGAGGCGTTTTATATGTCTCATTCTCCACAGCTGCCCTCCTAACTGGAGTATTTCAGTTCGCTCACCGTTCTGCACCGCAGGTCAACAAATAAATTATTTATAAGGAGCAGATGCACATTCATCTTATGTGAAACCAACCATCAGTGCAGCTACCAAACCCTGAATTTTACATAGAGAGAAACTGGGGGGAATTTCTCCTGTAGTAATCACATTTTATCATCCGGCAGAGGGGTGCATACCTGCACTGCGAGGGCTGAGGGAGGGTTGAGTAGATTAAAGTGATTAAATAAAGACAATAAATCTCTACAAATCAGGTGGAAAGGCAAAAACTGAGAGCTAATCCAGCAAAGATGTTTTTGTATTAGTGGTCTTAAGTCTGATGCAGCTCCAGTGAAACTCTGCTGCTGTTTTCTCAATGATTTCTGAGCTTTAGTTACACAGTCTATGTGACACAGTCTCTAAAGTGCCACAGAAGCCAGAAATCTTGGACAGACGGGCTGATCTATTGTTGGATGTGGTCACAGAAAATTACTATTTACCCCAGTGTGACATCAAAAGTGACCCTGGAGCTGCTCTGGGCCTTCGAAACGTCAGAAACGCTCAGTGCATTGAATCTTCTAAACAAACCTTCAGCCTCATCTGTAAACATCCGATGTGACACATGCTTTACTCTTACCTTATTTAGAGAAAAGGGATCAAAACAGATCAGCAGCACTTCTGGCTGTCAGCAGAAATGACACAAGTCACACAACAACATGCAGATTGTTCTAAGAGTGACATTCAAGAATAGTGAAGTGGTTACAATACAGACACGAGGGCTAGCGCCAGACAATGTGACAGTCTAAACAAACAATTGTCACACTATCGCCTCAATAATTTCACTTCTGTGTTGGGTTTCCACAGAGGAAACGCTTCCACTGAATACGTAAAATACATGAATACTTATTAAGGCCATACAGGGATGTTCCTCTTTGCTATTTTTGTACTTCCACATCGTCATAAAGGAAATCTGTCAGAGTCTGAAGATAAATTTAAGTCTGGATGAGCTCATACATGATTTTGCAGTTTGGCAGAAGTGAGAATTCAGTGTATGATTTCAGGAACAAGCAGGTTTATGTGTAAACTTGATCTGTAAGGCTGTAGAAAGGCAGGTGATCATCTGACTGGGGATTTCAATAAACCTATTTATAATTAAACCATGACTTTCACTCACTAGTCAGCCAACACTAAATTTTCTATAAAGATGGACAACACAACTTCTAGCCATTGGAATATGAAGCCAAAATTACTCTTGTTTACATCCTGAGGAATAAACTATAAAACAAAGCGATGTGGTTTCTGAGGCAGCATTTTGAAGCCACAGTTGCTTTAATTTTATTAGCTTTATCAGATTTCAGTTGGAATTGCCTTTTATTTTTAGACTCATTTTAGTCATTTATGCCCTTCAAAGTTCCAGTCTAGTTTTAGTCAATAAAAAGTCATTACATTTTAGTCACAACAAAAAAGATTAAAATCATTGTTATAAAGGTTCCACCAAATGTTTAAATCACCTATATATTTCTTAATTTTAGCAGGCACACATTATATGTTAAACTGACGTCACCATCATGGAATTGTCTTCATTACTAACATGCATTAGATAGAGTGGATGTCCATAAATGAAGAAGCATGGAGGGAAAGTGGACTCATGACTGCTGCATTTATTGCAAATGAGGGACCAAGTCAACACTTTGCCCCTCGATTAAATCAGCCTGTTACAGGAATGCATTGCTCATGAGCTATTTTGAGTTTTAGATAAGATGCAGAGTGAAAAAATATTATGGATATTTAATGTCTTACAGCCCACCTAAAACATGTATGTCTTATTTCCAAGAACAACACCTACATTCATCTCAGTTTGAATTAACTGAGTTGTGTTTTTAGCTCATTGTCGTCTTGTCTTTTCTCTAGAAAACAGGGTCCTAATTCATGTTGACTCTTAAGCAAGTAAGTAAGTATATTTAACTTATATAGCACTTTTCATAGATAAAACCACAACCTACAGAGAAACAAAATACATAAAGGCACAGATACAAGCACTTCACAGAGGCCCCACAACATCGACTTCAGTTAAAAGCCTGTCTAAAAAGAAAGGCTTTAAGTTCTTTCTTAAAACTTTCAGTAGACTCTATGCTACGGAAGGTCAATGGTAGTACATTCCAGAGGCAAGTGGCACTGGCCTGAAAAGAGCAGTCACCTCGTGTTTTAAACCGGGTGCGAGGGACCATCGAGAGTTTGTGGTCTGATGACCTTGATGAACGTGAGGGGAATAGGGTCTCCGTAGCTCAGTGATGTACGAGGGAGCTTGATCATGGAGGGCTCTAAAAGCAAGGACTAAAATCTCAAAATGAATCCTAAAATTAACTGGTAACCAGTGTGGGGAATATAAAATTGGAGTAACATGGTCCCTTTTCTTGGATTCAGTAAGATTTGTATCTTCAGAGAGTTAGAAAAAAACCCTGTGCGATGAGTGCACGAAGAGAAAGTAGCTACTGGGGCTTGTATCAGGCTGTGGTCATGTTTATTTTTGCCGTTGCTTCTGGGGCCTTATAGGAGCCAGTCCCAAGTGGACACCCAAGGAACTTGGATTCACACGTTGGCCTCATATTTCTACATAAGAGGTTGCTGATGGTTTGGAGCAGATTCCAAATTCAGCAGATTCAGCAGATTGGCTCAAGGCAAGCTTTGTCCCATCATGTACAAACAAACATACCATTGATATAAAAATAAAGTAGCAAAGATTCGTCTGGATCATTTTCTCCTTCCACCCCTGAGACTGCTCTGCTGACTGGGCGGACACACTGCTGCAGGAGTGGTGTGTCACACTCCTTTTTATAGCATAAAAAAACAATGACATCTATTACTAGTTAAATTAACACATGGCCATGAGTTAGCAAGATAATGACAGAGACAATTTCTGAGAAAAACTTAAGGGGATATTCCAGCGTGAAACTAAGTTGGTGTCAAACACACTGTGACACAGAGGCAGACACCCCGTTGAGAGAGGAATATTGCTGACCGCTTGCTTCTCTAGTTACACCAACTTTAGTAACGACATCACATAGCAATACAGAGCGGTCCCAGGAGCCATGCGATCATACAAAAAGCCACTCTATAGCCACAAATAATGCTCAGAACAGCAACTAACTTCATCAACAGTACATATAGGGTCCCAGCCATAGTACTAGCCATGAAACATATTTTTAGCTTTGCCTGATTTCTTTAGCAAAGAGACTAAATACAACTCACCCGCTCTCTTCCAGCAGCAGCTTGTTTGTATGGAGACCTCAGGCAAGTCCGTTACCGCAGTGGTGTGACGCAGCTTAAGGAAAAACATTTACGATCATTTCCTCATGTAAATGCAATCAGACGCTAAGGCAGAAGAACTACTGCGTCTGCAGTGCAGCATGATTAATATAATGATTATTACTTCAAGGAATTGATAAAGTTGCGATCATAAATGTTCTTCCATGAGTTGTGTCACCCCACTGCGGTAATGGACTCACCTGAGGTCTCTGTACAAACAAGCGGCTGCTGGAGGCGAGTGAGTGAGTTGTGTTTGGTCTCTTTGCTAAAGAAATTAGGCAAAGTTAAAAAGATGTTTGGTGGCTAGTATTATGGTTAGGACCCTATATGTATTGTTGATGAAGTTAGGTGCTGTTCTGAGTATTTTGGTTTAGTACATGGCTCCTGGAACCTCTTTGTATTGCTATTGTGCGGTCATTACTAAAGTTTGTATAACTAGAGAAGCAAGCGGTCGGCAACATTCATCTCTCGATAGGGTGTCTAACTTGGTGTTACAGTGTGTTTGACCATAACTTAATTTTACGGCGGAATATCCCTTTAATATGATGTTCTCCTAAGTTTTCTAAGTGTGACCCATCTCCCATTTGGCAGCATGGAAGAAGCAAGCTTTAACAGCAATACTGCAGCCTGCCAGCAGAGGGAGTTCTTAATGTTTTGGTCTTACTTTTAGAGAAAAAAAAGACACAAACTCTGACATTTAAACTCACAGAAAAAAAAAGAAAGATTAACCATGTCTCCAAATATCTTCTCTCTGACTCACTCTTCTGCACTGCTGGTGAGTGAAAGTCCATCTTCCCCCGGGTCACCTTCGACCTCTATTTTGTCCAAATGTCAACCTATTTGAAGGATGCGTGACTGGAGAGTGTGGGAGATACTCCTGGGAGAAAGTTTGTAAAATATTTTTAAAGAGCTGTTTGTAAAGACAGTGGGGCATGTGTTGGAGGAGGAGTAGACGTGAACTCTAATGGTGAGTGTTTGTGGTTGTGGGTGAACACTGATGAGACCAGACCAGCGTGATGGAAAGCCCAGCCGACTGCTAACACAAACACACCGTGGGGAGAGAAAAGAGAATAAGTGGGGGGTGAGCGTGGGGGTTAATAAGGTGGGGGAGGAAAGTCAGAAGAAGAAGAGAGTGTTTTTTGTCAGCTGGAGGACGATGACAGCTTTTATTAAGACGCTGATGCTGAGCAGTATCGACAGGTCGAGGGAGTGTTTATAAATACCCCTTCAGACAGATCCATATTTTACCCCCGGGTGGAGACACTTGGCCTGGGTAAAGAGAAACTCTCAAGAGGGGGGCTCTGGAGGTGTTTCACACACTGAAAAGAGAGTGTGGTGTGTGTGTTTGCATCATTAGCATAATTAAGAGTGACTGCTGAGAGCGCACAGACGGGCTTGTGTTGGCACTCCCCCCCGAAACTCCCGGTTTGACAAATTATGTGAATGAATAAGAGGAGAGGCGTAGCTGGCTCGACAGATGGGGTCAAACGGAGAAGATAAGGGACCTGTGTGAGCGTTCCGGGACTGCTGGCACTCTTACAATCGCTGTTTTTGGGCCGTGGTCCAACTAAAACATGTCCACTTTTTTTTCCCTAGCGTAGGATCACGCCAAAGATGGTGGACTATTGTGTCTTTTGTCCTTGTGTCGCTGTGTTTTCCTCCAGCTTAAAATGCTGAGTGGTTTGGTAAGTCTTTGGCTCCCGCGAGTAAGGCGAGGTTACTTCGTGTCATTGGAATCTGCGCACAATAATGGACCCAGACCCCCCTTTTCCTCCTTAACACCGGCTTGTGAACCCCCCTCTAGAAAAAACTCTGGTTTAATCGACCCCCTACCCCTTTCTCCCTTCTTTCCCCCGACTTCTCTCTGTCTTCTCCTTCGTCCCGTCATCCATCCTGGTACAGCTGGGTCCCCTACACGCTCAGGAGCTGTCAGTGCTGCTAAATGGTTCCCAGAAGAGGAGAAATAAAAACACGAGAGCTCGATTCAAACTTCTAAAGGAATGCACCAACTCCTTGTAGTAAGCACTTTACCTCTCTCCTCCTCTCTCTCTCTCCTTATTTGTCTCTCTCCCCTCCCTCTGTACCTCTCTTTCTCTCTCTCTCTTCCTCTCTGATACAGCGTCGTTGCCATGGCACCGCCTGCCTGACTCAGTACAGCGGTTAAAACACGGTCACTCTCCGGCTTTTTTGGTGATGTTCACTCAGCATATTGGTGCGCGCTGGCTAGACGCAGCCCCACTCGGTTGTGAGTCTTCGCTGCGCATAACTCAACTCGCGCTCTGTCCCGGGATGAGACCTCTTCACCATCTGTGAGGTGGGAACACGCGGGGCGGGCGCACGTCGTCTCACACACCTGCTGGATGGAAATAGATGGAGGAACTTGCGCCGCAATCGAGCGATTGCTTCACCTCCTCTCGTGGTCCACGGGGGAGCGCGCTTGTAAGCTGATTTAACCCGGGGGATGTGAATACCTCTCCGGGATTAGAAGGTTATTGGGTGAACGACGACAATGCCCCGCGGCTCGGCCCGGCACTCCCGGCTATTGTTCGCGCAGCGGCGGACGCACGGTGCCCGGTCTCCCTCGGATCGTCTCCTCTAGCTGTACCTCGCCTTCCCGGTGTGGATAAGGATAATATGACTTCCTGGCTCCTCACATACGGCAGTGTCCCTCTGTATCTCGTGTTGGTGTCTCTCTGCGCAGTGGAAGCCTCCGGTGCCGGTGAGTGGAGCCTCATTAGGGGCCAATTACATAATTTCCCAGCAATTAGCCCACATCTTCAATCATATCAAGCACCCTTCTCAGCCATCTGTGCGCTCTGTGGGACTCTTAAATGTTTCATGTCAGGGATTTTAGGATTAAATTCCCACACAGCTGTCATTCTTACATCTTTTAGTGGGATTTTCAGTATTGAAGAGAAACATCCAGCTCCAGGGAACACTCATCCTCTTGTTCCAGCTTGTATTGATCAGTGCAAATTAAAAGTTAAATGCTTCCCCCATTCAAGCCTCCAGGATGGCTAATTGGGTCAGAGCTGCTTGTTAGTGGGCTGTTAGTGATGCTGGGACCTGCAGCCTTTCTCTGTCCCACATTCCAGCACTGAAACTGCTCTGGAAAATAGGATCCCAGGAGATAGATCACGCCAATGAATCATTAACCCCTCTACTTGTAAGCCCCGGGTCCGTTTTGTTGCCTTTCTCTCCTTGTAGCATCTTCAGATCCTTCATCACAGCATTAAAGTACCTCGCCTGAGGGATTTGTCACTGTGTCACTCCATTAATTCATTTGTGCACGTTTAGCACTTACTGATTGACTCATGATTACACGTCTCCCCCCAGAGTGCTTGTGTGTGTGTGGGTGTGTGGGAAAAGATCCATTGCGCCACTCCAGCGACTCAAGCACCTGTTTCCACACTCAGGAGCTGTCTCCCCCTCCTTGATAGCCAGTGAATACCCTCACATGAGATGCTAAGTGCTGCTTTCATCATCAAAAAGTGTGCATGAGATCTTTAAATGTCCACAGGGCCTCAGCTGCATGGCTAATGAGTGTTGACACACACATTCTTTCATATGCTAATCACAGATTCCTCATTTCTCTTATACTCTCTGGCTGTCTTCCTCCTCTCCTCTTCCATTCTCTGCCTCTTCCTTCTTTGTCTCTCCTCTTGCAGGTGACAGTGCGTGCTGGTCCCCTACCATCACTTCTTGTGCTGAGTGTCTCAAGCGAGGCCCTCAGTGTGCCTGGTGCTTCGAGGAGGTAGGAATGTGTTTTAAAAGTGTGTTTGTGTGTGTGTGTGAGAGAGAGAAAACGAGAACGTGGCGGACATTCAGCAGCATTCCTCAGATGACACACGCTCTCAGAGCTTTGATGCCATCCGCAGATGTGAATATAATGTGTATGTTCGGGCTTAGAGGCCTGCCCTGTGACCTGAGTGTGTGTGTGTGTGAATGTCTCCATGTGGGCTTTCTCATGAGACGGAGCCGCTCTCTATCCATGTGTTTAGTCTGGGCCCTCACACATATCACTGCGCTTCTCTCAAAGTGTGCATCTGCCGCGCCTGTCGCTGTTTGTCTGTATCTGTCTCTGCTTTCCTGGTGTCAGTCTGTCTCGTTAAAAGACCACCCCAAAAATCAGACTTTGGAAGCTGTAAATCCTACACACACACACACACACACACACACACACACACACACACACACACACACACACACGGACACACACACTAACTTGAAAAGGCAGTTGACATGTGTGTGTTTACTGACTTCAGGTGCTTTCCCATCCTTTGAACTCTCACCTTATCTGACATCATTAAACGGGGCCTGGATCAGTGGTGTGTGAAAGCATTCAGACACCACCTCTGTAGCCTCCTACACACACACACACACACTCACACACACACGCAGCATCACAGAGCTATGCTTGAGAAGGCAGAGAAAATTACGCAGGTACAGTGCTTCAATAATACGCTTGTTCAATTATTCCCCTCGACCTTCAGTTTAGTTGAATCACCCTACGAGGAAAGTCCGGGGAAACCGCTGTGAAACTTTTTCAAGACATTAAAAGACAAATTACACCCACAGTGAAAGCCATAAATAAAACCAATTCAGTCGAGCTCTCAGCTACAGCTACACATTTACTGCCACAGCTTGTATTTAAGGCTGTGTGCTGTTAGTCCCTGTGCTATCTCTGCTTTAAAAACCCATACTTACAAACAGGGCTATTTCATTCTCCAGTGAAGCAGCCTCACAGCATCATGTTTTTTTAACCTTAGTTTACAGATTCTGCTTAAAAGTCCAGAATATGTAGGGGCAGCATAAGACTTATGTGATGTTTGAGTTTGTGTGTTACTCTTTCTGTGATTGGTGTCAACAAACAGGGAAATAGTCAGTGTAGAGCATAAGGGCTGAAGTTAAGCATCCGTGAACCCATCTGAGGTCAATCACTGATGATGTAGCTGCAGTAAACATCCTTAAACTGACATCTGTATGCAAGTGGAGCTCATTACACTCTTAGATATCATCTCCCGACATTAACTCCACCTTATTTCTTATGTTGCCGGTGGAACTGCGATCAACGTTAACTCCTTGAAAAGGAAAAGCTGTGGGCTGAATTCCTTTAGCACCAAACCTAAGAGGTTGTTTGTCACATATTAGTTGATTATGTCCTTTCTGAATGCACATTAAAGCTCCTGTAAGGGTATTTTTGATGTTTATGAAATACACTGATATCCATATTGATGTCTTTTTATGACGTGCCAAAAAAAAAACAAAAAAACACGACCATTTGTAACAAGATTGATTATTTTTATTTTGTATTTTTAATTCCTTAAACTGGTGCCAGGGGGTAGATGTCAGCCAAGTAGCTAAAGAGGAGCCCTGTATTTATAATTTTCACATAAAATATTCACAGTAGATGATACATTTGTCCTTTAGTATGAGCAGGATGAGCCATTTTGTCTATAAACACTACTTGACTACACCAAAGACAAGATAAGCAGAGACTGCTTTGTCCACAGGGGGCGCCAACATTGACCCAAACCAGAAAAAAAAAAATGGTTAAAGAGCTTCACCAATTCAACTTTTTCCAGCTTCCTGATGGCCCTAAGTGCTCATATCATCTTTACCCATTCATGAAAAGCACCCAACTACCTGTTGACATCTATTATTCATACACATATATTCACCATGCCTTTCTGAGGGGTACCAATTTAACCTACATTGGACAATTGCACATAAAAAAGCTGATTACACAGTATAAGCATGTAGGAGATGATGTGTAGAGAGCAGGTGGTTATGCAGATTAAAATTCCAACAAGGTGAGCAGCTCCGTAAAGCAAAGAGGTTCATACTGATCTGCGTATTTGCAGTGAAGCAGCTGGACTTCTGCCGGAGCCTTTCCCCTGACGTCTCTGTCCTCTTTTAGCTCCTCTATTCTCTGAGCTGAGCAGCTGACACACCTTTAAATATAAATGAGGGAAGTGTCAAAACTTTTTAAACTGTTGCTATTATCTCTGCCGCTCGTGGTTTGGGTTACTTTGTAGAATTTGGCAACTTCAGAGATGAACTCATCAGCTCTCTTTTATCTGAAAGGTTGTGGTCCCAGCAGCTCCTCAGACTGCTCTCACATCTGATTCAGTATTCTGTCATAATTCTCCAACTCTCAGGACAAGCCTTTGAAATGGTAAAACTAGTGAACAAGGAGGATTCATTTAGCTCCTGACCGCTCAAAAGGCCTTAACATTCCAGGTCACCTTCAGCCACATCCATACGGTCAGCATGTTTACCTGTCATTCAATTGACATCAATTCACGATTGATTTATTGTGTTAGTTTAACTAAAACAGCACTGAATCGATTTTTTTTCAGTCAGACCACCATCTTCAGATAATGCATCTGGGGATCTCCCACATATACGCCTTAACTGGACTGAAACTGGCCTTGGCATGCTCTGCAGTTCCCACGGCAGGCATTAACCATAAGGATAGGAAACAAAACCTTGATCGAAAATGATAAAGCTGTTGTATCAGCGAAGTTAAAGTTAAAGAGCTGTGAAGTTTGTCATCCTCTTGCTAATTGTTTTGGTATTTGACATAGTAGGTCAACCCAATAGGGACATATCATCACCCTTGATTATAGTTGGCATTAAAAATAACCAGCTTCTAGGACTATCCTTTATATCACTCACTCCTTTACATTTACTTCAGTGAAGTTGTATTTTCGTTGGTTTAGTTTGCAGTAGCTGAACTTTTGCTCTTGAGTTGTGAAAGTGTCTGTGACCCTGTTCTAGTTTAGTCTGGTGCTAATCTTTCCAGTGTGTTTGTGGGAGTGTTTTTCTTATATGCTGCAGTACCAAAGGTCGCTAATCCACTACACTAAAGCCGCAAGGCATGACGCTGTTTGGGCTGGTTTGCAACAAGAATTGCTCAGTGAGGACCTGATTCAATCAGATCCTTTCAAGGAAGAATTGAGGCTATTAGACTCGTTTTGTGTATACCAGAGCTGCTTCTTTCATTGAACTTCCCTTCACCGGCTGATCAGATATGCAAAGTAAGGTGACTTGGCAAAAAACATGAAACTTCCTCTTCCACTAAACTGATGAGTAACTCTGGGATCGCAGCAGGGATAGAGATAGGTCTGATGTAAGTGCAACTACACCACGCTTCAAAACAAACATCATAAAATGAGAGAAATAGAAACTGAAACCGAGGGGGCTGATACTGAAACTGTGTGGGAGGGAGTGTGTGAGATGTGTGTGTGTGTGTGTGTGTGTGTGCGTGTGTTTACTTGAGTCTCTATACTTTGCCAAAAGGCAGCTTTAGATATTGACCATTTCAAAGTAGAGAGGAGTTAACAGGCAAACAGGACAGAAATCTCTATTTTTTTTATTCATGGCTGTATTTTTGGAGGGTTTGTTTCATAGACTCTAACGTGGCATCCGAATTGACCTTCTTGTTTGTGACACTTTGTTCTTATCCTTGAAATGGGATTAAAATGATAACATCTTCAAAACAGCTCAGCCGTGTTATCTTCCCAGCTGTCTGCTGGATTGTTCTTCTCTGTCTTGTTTGGGTATTTGGGTTGTTTTTCATGTTTTACTAAAGCAAAAAAACATTTTTAAAAAGAGACTTGACCTTCCTAATGTGTCGTCTAATCTGCAGGACTTTCTGGATGGGGCGGGCCCGAGCCAGCGCTGCGACCTGCCGGAGAAGCTGCTGAGTCGAGGTTGTGGCCCAGAGTTTTTGGAGCAGTCTGAGGTCAAGGTGGAGGTCAATGCCACCATCAGCAGCACTCAGGTGTCGCCGCAAGACATCAAAGTCACCCTCAGACCAGGTAAAAGTCTGTCACGTTGTGGATCTGAGACTCAAAACTGTGGAGTAGCTTTGATTTAAGTTAAGTTTGAGTTCCAATGTGTGATTTGTGAGGTTTTACTTTGACTCAGGTTCAGAGGCCAGCGTTGTGGTGGCTGTGAAGCAGCTGGAGCGTTATCCTGTGGATCTTTACTACCTGGTTGATGTGTCGGCATCCATGCAGGAAAACCTTGATCATGTAGGTGGTCTTTTGCTAAGCTGAAATTTATTTTCATCTCAACTGTAACCTGGGCAAAATTTCCACGCCTTACCAAATGATCTACATTCTTGCGTCTTCCTGTAAGCTTTCTGTATGTGCTTTGTTGTTAAACTGCACTCTTATTCTGACGTATATATCCTTTTCTTTTCTACCATCCTATGTTCCTCCCTGATCCAGCTGAAGACGGTGGGTGTGGCTCTTTCGCTGCGGATGACAGAGCACTCCTCAGACCTCTGGCTGGGTTTCGGCTCTTTCGTGGACAAACCAGTCTCCCCTTACATCAACGTCCACCCCTCAAAGATCAGCAACCCCTGCAGGTGAGACAGAGGATCTGTTATTTGGGGTGTTAAATGCTTCGAATACTCTCTAAGTAGCTCATTAGTGGATGCTCTATCTGCTGTAATGAATGAATAATTTAAATCAGCCTCATTATATTCCACGGATAGTTTCGCCTCTTTTAAAAAGACAAGAGGAGGTGTGTGATGTTTAAAAATGCATCTGAGGAATCTGCACTTAAAAGTTCCTCCTAATTTTGTGTGGTTTTGTACGGCAAGAGCAGGAACTTAGTCATCATGAACTTTGCTTGAAGACAGTTACTAATTTTGAGGATCCAAGTCTTTAAACTTTCCAGTAAAACCTCTTCCCGCACCATCTCTGTCCCCCCAGTGATTACGAGATCCGCTGTCGCCCGGCTCACGGATATCACCATGTCCTCAGCATGACCGGAAATATGAGCGAGTTTACCCGAGTGATCAAACGCCAGCGGATCTCAGGAAACATGGACACACCGGAGGGAGGACTGGATGCAATGCTGCAGGCTGCTGTCTGCAAGGTGTGTGTGTGCACAAAAGCAGTTAGTGTGTGTGCAACAAATGAATATGAACAAATGTGGAAAATGTGTGAATAAGTTCAGAAAAATGAGGGATCACCCCTTCTTGGTGGTGAGCTCGCCTGCTGGTGAAAGAGGGTTTTATTGCAGCAGTCTGGTGGCACTCTGACTCAGCATTCAGTCTTACCCAAAGAATCTCAGTAAGTAATGACACAAGTGCTTGGGTATGACACAAACACACACACACAGAGAGGCCCACATTTGGTTACACTATGGCTGCAGGAGAGCTGTGAATCACACCATGCTGGGGGCCCTGAGTAACCAGTCTGCAGGGAAACCCAACAGTGGCCAAGACTCCAGAAATAGACTCTCCACTATGTCAGACCCACTTATAAACTCAGTGGGTTTCCTTAAATACACACACACAGACTCACACAGACCCATTTTCTCACACTGTCACTGACGAGTCAGACAGAAGGAGCCAGACTCTGTGACGTGGTGGAGGAATTCTTCGCTGCTCCTCGTTTAACAGAGCGTTACAGAAAGAGCTGATCACCATGAGAACTAATGTGGTTCAGATGAGCAAAATGTTTGAATTTGCGGTTTCCACCCACATGTGTAAATCTCTGACAAAATAAAGCATCGGCATATTTTTTGCATCAGTCTGTGTGAAAACAGCTGACTAGTGAATAAAACTGAGAGGATATATCAAAGTGCTCCCAAAACACAGAAGACATTTAAGATTGCTTGCGATGCTCCTTTGGTTTCATGAGCATCAAATTCTGGTTTGGAAACCATCTCTTATATTAAAAAAATGTTGTCTCTCTCTCTGGCTGTATCTCTCTTTTTAGAGAGCAGTGGGATGGCGACCGGAGGCGAAGCATCTTCTGCTCCTGATGACTGATCAGCCGTCTCACCTCGCCCTGGACAGCCGGCTGGCAGGGATCGTGACGCCACACGATGGTCTGTGTCACCTGGAAAATAACGTGTACATGGGGAGCACAAGAATGGTGAGAGGAGAGGAAAAAACTGAGCAACCAGGCTTTAAAGAAACCCTTTTACTGGGTGTTTAATATGCACGGTGTAAATACCTCGATGATCATTGCATCCAGAAATATTCCACAAAGGCAGATTAAAGCCCCTGTGAGTAGATTTTAACTAGTTAAGAAATAGACAGAACTCAATACTCATAAGTTTTAATGAGCAAATGAGACCATTAGCGACACAGCTGGTAGTTCTTATACTGGTATTTCTGCCACAGGGTAAATGTCGCACAACTTCCTGTTTTAACAACTTTCTCACAAATAATCTCTCTTTAGGAAAAGTCCCTTACATGATATCATGTTTTCACCTCATTATCTTGAACCTAAAGCATCACATTTATCACCATACTTATGGAAAACTTAAAAAAAAAAATGAAACAACACAATCAGTTAAATTCAGGAAAAGCAAGCAAAAGGTAGAGCAACATATTCATAAACTTTACTAAGACACGGGATTAACTTAAATGTCATCATCCATTTCTAACGATGTCCAGATTTATGAGTTATCCACATCACATGAAACGATTGTTTTTCATGCTTTTAAAAGTTCTCTCTATCTTGCATTTTTGTTGCTTTTTTCCCTGCATTATATTGCTATGCTTTTATTTTGAAGGAGACTACTTCCAGTAGATCCTAAGTCATGGAACCAAATGAAAACAGTCAATAGATGCATCCATAACCTGAAGAGGCACAAGCTTTCACAGTTAATGTCAGTCTTTAAAAGTACTTAACCATCTCTGAGAGGTGCTATGGCTAGCTCACTAGCAGCTACCCCTTTTTATTCGCTGTTATATGATGTGTAGCAACCAGCGGAAATCAATGATTTATATTATCCTATACCTTATTTAGCACAATATAAATATTTTGGAGTTTTTTTTTAAAAAGATGTTTATCATCAATACTGGGATATCTTGACAGCCCTGGTCCCTTTAAACTCTATAGAACAAACAAGGTAAGTGTTAATCTGCAAGTTTTCCAAGTTTGGTAGTCTATTACATCTCTTAAAAACAACCTTAGAATTAACATTATTGATAATTCAGTTTCTTTATAGCTGTATGATGCTAAATTAAATATCTTTGCCTGGTGGGAGCCCATAATTGTTGGTTTTGGGCTTATTTCTTCTTTGAAGACTAAACAACAAGTTAAAGGATGTCTTAGCTGCATCTAAAACAGGCTGAAATTAATCCTGATTATACAATACCTGTTAAAAAAAGACAGTTAGTGTAATGATCAACTACTTCTATATAATGATTGTGAAAGTCTGGATCTGCACACAGGGGGGTAGGTGCAAGGCAAACTCAAAGCTGCTGATCAAACTTTAAATTTTTTTTTTTCCATTATCCAGATATTCAAATGAACTTCTCTGAAAGTAATTGTTAGTTGCAGATCTATAACCAACATATCTGTCACTTTAAGTCTGGAGTGGTCCATATGGACTGCAGAATAAGGGATGCATGTTACTTGCAGATGTCATACAGGCTGTTAGGTTTGCTGGCGTGTGTTCTTACAGTGATACATGGCAAAGATATGCTGACCTCAGAGGAACATGAGTCTGGTCTGAACCTTATATGGTCCATCAGAGCTACATTAAAGATTTTATCTGCCTCTTTTTCAGGACCATCCCAGTGTGGGGCAGCTGTCTGATAAGTTGCTGGAAAACCACATCTACTCCCTGTTTGCTGTGGAGAAGCAGCAGTACCAGTGGTACGAGGTAAACTCTTCCACAAACATCATATGACCTGAATTTTGAGCGAGAAAGCAAATGTTACGGCATCGCAGTGTTTTCCTAACCTCCTCTCCTCTTGGGTTCTCTAGGAGCTGGTGCGCCTGCTGCCTGGCTCATACCTGGGGAAACTGGGCCTCTTTCAGGCTCCGAATCTTATAGAGCTGGTAGTGGACGCTTACAAGGTATAGAGCACTTCTCAGTTTTACCTGCAAGTTTTAAAGTTAACTTCTTTTTGCATATTTTTACAAAGAGGAGGACAAAAACAAGGGAAAGGTTAGAGAGAAGAAGGTCAGAGCTCTGGGTTGTAGCTGTCGTCTGTTTTAGTCATGGGAGCTGAACAACACATTCCTGTTTGCAGAAAGAGGGCCTCACTCTGGGCTACTGCATGTTCCTGGATGTGTGTTATAATTATGCACAAAAGTAGGAGCGACTGTGCAGACTGCTAAAAAGACAAGCCCTTGTAATCCAAACTTTGATTCTGCCGTTTAGAAAACAGATGACAGGCGAAGTTTTTGGTTGCTGAAGGCCTAATGAAACAGAAAAAAACAGAGATGAGAACAGGAGGTTAAGGAGGGGTGAGGCCTTCACTGTCTGTCAGTGTGTGTGTGTGTGTGTGTGTGTGTGTGTGTGTGTGTGTGTGTGTGTGTGTGGTTCGTTCAGCTGGCAGTACTCTAGGCTGTAATCTCGCCTCAGGCACAACGCCCCATTGTTTGCTTCGAGAATCTGCCGAATCCACAGATCCGGGTGCACACACACACACACACACACACACACACACACACACACACACACACACACACACACACACACACACACACACACACACACACACACACACACTATCGCACACACACACGTACACAAGCAGCAGCACAGCCCTGAACAGAAGCTTGCATTATAAAAGCTATCAGATCCCCGCGGAAACCATGTGTCCTAATCACGGATGAAAACAACGATGCTATTTTCGGCCCCACCTCCTTTTTCCCATAATACCCCCCTGTATTTCAGAAAGGAAGAAAGGACGGCAATGAGGGCTTTCTGGGGACATGTGACAACTTAAATTAATCACACTTCTTCCTTTCTGTATCTCTGTCATGCTCGTTACTGTACATACACTCTTACATATCATACTCATGAAAATTTAAACTCTTCTGTACTTCTCTCAGCTTTAATCTCCTCAAAACAGCATCAGACTCAATATTGCTCTCCCATCCTCTTCATGCAGAGGCTGTTGTCGGAGGTATCAGTGTCAGTGGCAGTGGACGACTGGGCAGTCAGCAGGTACTGGGTGTCCGTATCCCCCATTTGTCCTGATGGATCTACAGCGAAGAACCAGAGCTGCTCCGGGGTGCAGCCCGACCAGACGGTACACTGACAAATATATCTATGCACCACACACACACACACACGCACACGCACAGGTTTAACACAGCAGGAGGATTAAAGGGGGAAAAGTGTTACATGTGTAAGTAAGCCTCAGGGGATGTCACAGGATATTTATTGGTTGTATTGGATTACTTTGACACATACGATCACACTCGCACAGTCACTGCCGAGAGCTCTACAAGGAAGGAAAGATTTGGTAAATAATCCTGGCTGAGCGGATTACAGGCTGTGTTTAACAGCAAAACATTTCCATGTGATTCTATGACCTTACCTCGCCAAATATGACAGACTTCAGGCTCCAAAATAGGACGTTTATATATAGAAATATGATCTTTCTGCTTTTGAACCTAAGGAGTATATTCATTTGAGCCTGCGCCTATACAAAACCTCTTTATCCGGTCTATACAGAACCCCCTTTTGGTTTTAATTATAACATCTCTCTTTGGAAACGTTCCTTCTGCTCACTCCCTAAATTACAGATGAGATATCTGTCCTCTGTAACCTTTCAGGGCTCTTAACTGTGTCCAACACTGAGATGCTTAATCGCAGCTTCATAGTCACTCCATTGTACAAAAAAAGATTGAAGTCCTTTAATCCATGGGTGGATTAAAGTGAATTACTGAAAGTCCCACACTTACCAGAATGGAGATAAAAATCAAGTGGAAAGCCTGCCTGTGAATTCAGAGCTCTGGGATGCAACCACACCAACGGAAAAAAAATATTCATGGTTATTTAACTCACATTTGTATTCAACTTCCCTCAACTTTGTTATCTAAGACTGTCAGAATTGTGCTGCAAGAGAAAGCTCATCTTAAATTCTTTCTTTTGGTTGCAAGAGTAGAAGAAAATTACACACTTTGCTGCTGGATCTCTAAGCTGGGTCAGACCACAAATAAAGGACTATTACACAGTTTTATGTGCTGTCTTGCCTTATGTGTATACTGAATCTGCCACCGTTTAAAATATGAACTTTTACTTTGTCTGTTATCCTAACTTTAATTGACTTCCTGTGTAGGTCTACTTCAATATCACGATCGGCCTGCACTCCTGTCCTGCTGATGTTGAAGATGAACACGTTCGAGTCCTGATCCGACCCATAGGTTACAATGAATCCACGGTGGTCAGGATCCACACCAAGTGTGGCTGCAGTTGTGGACCAACGAAGCGCTGCCATGACGAAAGCCAGTCAGCATGCAGCGGGACACAAGAAGGGTTCAGTGAGGAGCAGAGGATGAACCAAGGACTGGTTATGAACTCAAATAGAGATTCAAGCTGGAACTGCAGAGCGAAGGGGTCTGACGTGGACTGCAGCGGCCGAGGAGTGTGTGAGTGTGGGAGGTGTGTGTGTGATCAGAGCAGACTTGGGATGGTGTACGGGAAACACTGCGAGAAAGATGACTTCTCCTGCCCGTATGAAGGAGGGCTGTTGTGTGGAGGTAAAGGACGCAGACTTTAAAAATCAATCTTTAGAGTCAATGACGCAGATGTTTAATGTGCACGGTGTGTTTAAGCCCCTCTCTTCCTGTTTCGACCTTTTCCCATCAGGTCGAGGCGTGTGTGTATCAGGTGAATGCGTGTGTGAGGACAGCTGGACAGGTGATAGCTGTGGATGTCCTGTCTCCTCGGCAACCTGCCAATCAGCCAGCGGTTCGATTTGCAGCGGGCGGGGGAGATGCGTGTGCGGGGAATGTGTGTGTGACGACCTCCAATACTCCGGAGACTTCTGCGAGAGGAATCTTGCACGCCAAAGCACCTGCCAATCATACTGGTACTTGTCGGTTTCTGTTCCAACACAAAGCATGATGGGAGTTCTCACGGATCTATTTATAGTCGCAGCTGACACTGATGTCTTCTCTCGCAGGAGTTGTGTTGATTGCCATGTGTCTCACAGTCTGACTCAACGAGAGGCAGGACTCTGCAACAGTACCTGTCCTCCATCTGTGGGCTACATGGACGATGTATCAGGTACATCCAGTTCAGTCTACAGCGTCTGCTCTGACCACTTTTACACTTTTTATTTCAGTTAGCTTGGAGGTCATGGTGTTCTCTCACAAACTGCTCCAAGAACAGACTTTAGAAAATAGTGCCAAATTACACTTTAAAACAGTGGTTCACAAGTTGGATGTTTCCCTGCTCCAACACACCTGATTCAAATGATCAGCTTGTTATTAAGCCATGACAGATCTTGATAACGAGCTGATCATTTGAATCAGGTGTGTCGGAGCAGGGAAACATCCAAAACATACAGGACAGTGGGCCTCGAGGACTGGACTTGCAAACCACTGCTTTAAAGGACCTGTATGTAAGCTTAGGGGTGTCTATTGTCAGAAATGTAATTTGATATCATGTTCATCAAATGTGTTTCAGTATGTGTAAAATATTTGGGGTTTTCTACCTTTGGAAATCCCCATCTTTCACTGACTATCCCCATGATGAGGAGCTATTTTTCTTTAGAAAGAGACCAGAAGGCAGAAGTTCACATTTATAACAGAACAAACAGGAACAATAGTCATTCAGCTTAATTTAAACGTCATTCAAAGCAAGCACAATCTTACGATGGAGTATTAAGGCCACATAAAAAAAAAAAAAACAAGATTTCAAGATTAAAGGCATTAATTTATGAGAATAAAGTCATTACTTACGAGAATGAAGTCGTAATAAAATCATTATGATACTTATGCTAATGTGGTGCTGATGTGCCAAAAGATTAAGTATCTCCTTGTTTGAGAAACCTGTATTGAAGTACATTTTCACGAAACGCTCCATGGCTCTCATTTCAACAACTGTCATCTTAAACAACAGGTTAGAATATAAGGACTTTAATCTTGTATGTAATTACTTAATTACGACTTTGTCCTTGCAAGTAATTACTGTATTGCAACTTTATTCTCATTAGTAATGACTTTATTCTCGTAAGTTAAGGACTTTAATTTCGAAATCCTAATTTTTTTTCTTAATGTGGCCCTGATACTCCGTCACACAATCCACCCTCTACATTCTATATCACAATAATAACAATGACAATATATGAAGAAAACAATTAAATTAAAAATATGAGACCAAAATCAAAACTCACAGCTCATTTGATGCTTCAGCTGATAGTAAAACATCATAATATAACAGATTTGACATAAGCCAATATCATCAACTAGCTAGCAGCTGCCTACCTGTTTCAGGTAGTGCTTGTTAACTTTCATGTTTAGTCTATTACAATGAATCCTCAGAGCTTGAATGACCAAACTGTGTAGCAAAGTGAGTGAGGGCAGCTTTTTTTCTGAATGCTTTGGTTTCTATCTCCTTTAAACTGAACACCGCACTTGCTGACAGCCCAACTTGTAAACAAAAAGTACATATTTTCCAACCTTATAGAGCTAAAGCAAACAGTTTAGCAAACAGTCGTCCGTGTGCACATTCAGCAGACGTAAACAGCAGTCATTTCCGTAGCCTGACTCTGACCTCTCCCTGTTTAAATCTGCTCAGTTAAACACATTTGACTCTTTAGTAACAAAATGTTCCTCTTAGTTCTGCAGCTTGTCCTTCACTTTATCTGCTCTCTGTTTGGTGCTGGTCTGGCGATGTAAAGCTTTTATCTAATGTTATTTTCAGCTGCAGAGAAACAGACGGCTGTGGCTGGAAATAGATTGAATCTGTAGTAGTAATTTGATCGCTTGCAGCAGCCGTATAAAAATATTGACCCGAAAAGCTTTCAGGTGAGAACTTAAGACCCATAAAACACAGCAGCTTTTCTGTAATGCTCCTCTCATTGATTCTCCTGTTTTTAGAAGTCCTGGAGGATTTTCTCTAAGGCTCAAAGCTTAACATGTCTGGACTGAAAAACATTTCATCCAACTTTCTCTCTGTCTCCTTATTTTCAGGAGAGACTGGAGTTCAGTGTATGTACATCAATAAAGACAGCTGTCACTATCGGTTTCTAACCAGCTCACAGTCCGGTCAGACCCAGCTCTACATCAACATGAGACCAGGTAGTGTAAATACACACACAAGCACACACAAACACACACATCCCTTATTCCAGGTCACTTCCGCTGCTGCCATTGCCCTGGTGTATTTGAGTCAGCAGGCCTGCTGTCAGTGTTACAGCTGTATTTTACATTTCCCCTCAGCTCCCAGCTCACTTTCTTCATTTTCACAGCCTCACACTCACTCACACACACATAAATAATTTAAAACCCACAGGTTCACACATGGTTACATACAAAAACACGATTACACGTCCAAGTGTTACAGTTCAACCCCGCCTCCCCAAGTTTTGGAACAGCGGAGCTCATTGTGCGTCACCCCCCTCCTCACCACCTCCACCCACCTCCATCCCCCTCCTCCACCCCAACGGGACACTCTCTTCCTGCTCACGCCCACTCCTCCCGGGTGCAGCGGGAGCCAGGTCTCCATGGTAACCGTGTTACAAAATGTCAGAGCACTCTTTGGGCCCTTTGTGTCGAGCGTTGAGTCCGTCATCTGCACATGCTCCCCAGCAGCTGACTGTGGAGTGCAGCATCACTGGCACAGCTGCCACTGGCCGAGCTGTGGGCGAAGTATCCCAGGACATTCACCAAACTGAAAAACTTTTCAGCTTTCAGAGGCATCTCGGTTTCACAATATGCTGTTTAAAAATTCATGACTGCTATGTCTTTGGAGCTTACTGCTAAAATACCAGTTATGTATTGATGTGTACGCCAGCCTGACAACTTTTGCTTGGATAGCATACTGAGCGTACTTTTACATCAATACTTGGACACTTTTTAAAGTTCTGCAAAGTTCAGATTTTGCACAAGTGACTTAACTTGACGTCTTTTCTTATTGTTGCAGCAAAATTTTGTCAAGTTACAGATCTGAACACATCTTCAACTCTCTTATGAAGTATGGCTCTGGTTTCACCAAGAATTACACAGCGTTTACCCCCTGCTACATGCTTCATTTCACGATCTAGTACATTGTACCAATGATATTCAGGTGCAAACATGCAGAAAAGCTTCTGCAGCTCTGCACACTTTGCTCCAGTTCTATACAAGCAGCAACCTCCAGTCTTAAGAAGTTCAGCCTATGTGAAAGTGGTACAACTGCAATTCCCAAAGTGCCTTGACTGCAAACCCCCTACACACCCCTACACAGACATGTTGCAGTCGTGCTCAAAGAACAGTGTTGGTCTGAATGGCTCATTTTTGTCTAGGCACACAGAGTACGTATTCACATTAATGATATTTGGGTAACAAGTCAGCCAATTAGAGGCCAAGCTGACTTAACTGGCAAGCAGGTGAATTGATACTGTTCATGAGGAGGCTAAAGGTCAACCTCAGCTCTATCTATTTTACTCATGGTAGGTCGGCCTCATGGCTTCATGTCAGGTTGAGTCTGCGTTTTCAATATGGTGACTGTTAAGGGCAGGCGTCTAAACTCTGCTTCAAGGGTCTTTACCAAGACTACATCAAGGTGTTGTACAGTCTGTGATTTAATCCTGACTGACATGAGCCGTAAGCATCTCCACACCTTGCTGCGCAGGGCTGCACTGTGCACTTTCATCCTCATGGGGCTAAATCTAATCTATATAAATGAAGAGCTGGATGGACTGTGTTTAGTTTTACCATTCAAGTCGAGACATATGTGACACAAATTTTGCAATGTACAGCTAGTTTACCTCCTGAAGTGCAAAGAGCAGCTCTTACACATGACAAAAAAGACTGTATGTACAGGGGTAGACTCAGAGACAGCCACAGACTTATTTAACTCCTCATTCTTATAAAAACGGTCATATTTGAGTTACATTAGCAGACATATTGTGCAAATATATAATTCTTAGTCACTCAGAAGTCGAGTTGCTGTCTTTGTTGCGACAGAGTTTGAGTGTGAAATGCGTATAAATGCTCCAACACAATTACCACCAACTCTAAGCAGATGGAAAAAATTTCCCTCTGTGTGGCACTGTCAACGGCAGTGATTTAGGTGTTTTTGCTATGAGGCTCATTTGCATAGAAAAGGCCATGTTTTTGCTCCAAATGAAAGCATGTGGGCTCATTTAAATGTATGCAAACAGCAAAGAAGCACAGGGACAGTATTTGCTCAACAATGCACTTTGTGGAGCACTTCCTCCTGTGCACATGCTATGATGAGGTCTTGATACTGATGATCCTACTTGTTGGTGTATCAGATAAATCAGGAAACATTACTAGTTTCAGGTCATTTTGTACAAGCATCAGTGTTAAATTAATTTAGATTATTTTTTTAAAGAAATAACGTACTTTTTGTTGACAGTGTCATGAAAGATTTGCAACTTTTTCAGGTTCTGTATTCAGTTCACATATGAAGTTTCCTCTAGACTGCAGTGTCCTCTTTTTAAGACTTCCTAACTGTCACAGTCAAAGGCACCCTGCCCTTGTTCTCTGCACTAAATCCCCATGTGTGTTGTGTGTCTGTGTGTCAACAGAGTGTGCCAGCAGCAGGCGGCTAGTGGGGACATTCCTAAGTGTGTGTGCTCTCACCGTGCTGTGTGGACTGGTGGTGGTGGCTGTGTCCCGGCTGCTGCTGCAGACACGAGGGAAGTCAGCAGGGGGCGCCTCTGTGGATGGCGGTTACATCTGCACTGGGAAGGTAAGCTCTTAAACATCAAGGTAAACATTTGCACATCAGGGTTATTATGTAAGGCAGGCTTGCATGGTCCTACAGCCCTTTGGATGCACTGCTTTCCGCTTTTTTTCACGTTTGTCCCCTGAAACCAGGAGTAGAAATCTGAGTCTGCTGTTACAGATACAGCTGCACTTTAGATTTCCTCCCAACTCCCTGTTCAGCACCCACAGAGTCCAGATTTGTGAGTTTACAGTGACGTACGGCACCTTTGAGGAGGGGGGAATAATGGAAATTTCATCAAGGATTGGGGGAGAGTATGCGGGTGTTCTGTATGACAGAGTTTGGGTTAATCACAAATTGGGAAATCCCCCTCATTAATTATTGATCCTTAAACACAAATTATCCACATGATACTACTGGTAATGTATAATGCATCTGCTTGGATTTGATTCCAGACATTTTTTACTCCCTGTTTATGACCATTATGTAACTGCATATCCTGAAAGCTTACTTTCTCAAATGTATCAGCATCTGCATTAATGATTTCTGACATTTCTCTACTGGCTTATAATACAGGCTGCTTTGAGCCACTCCTAAAAACAGGCTCTGCACGTGCTCTAAGTTGGCTGCAAACCTTAAACACTGACCAACTGGTCCCAAACTCTGACAAATACTCCCATTGTGCATGCAAAAGTCTACACAACAAGGCTATGTGAACCAGCAGCTAAAAAATGTAAACAGTAAGCAAACAGATGTCAGATACCATTAGATCCTGTCTGATACTGTCAGCATGCCCTGAGTTTTAAGTAATTCATAAAGTTTTGTTGCTGTGTCTTTGTGCACAAATGTTTACATGTCTGTTAAAGCTACTGTGAGGAGTTTTTTGACATTTATATAACAGCCTGAAATTCATATTAATGTCTTTTCATGACATCCGAAAGGAAACGAGACCATCAGTAACAAGACTGACAGTTTCTATGTTGTCATTTTTGATGCCTTAAAATGGTGTGTGTGTGGGTGGGTGTCAGCAGAGCAGCTGAGGAAACTGCCCTGGTTTTTACAGTTTCAACATCCATATTCGGAATAAATTAAACATTTGACTGTCAAAAATCAGCAGGGTGAGATTTTTAATTAGGCGATATTTATGCATGTAGAGGACAAATCAAGCAAAGACGGCTTTATCCACAGGGGGCACTGAGTTTGACACAAACTTAAAGGTCTTTGCAGGAGCTTTTATTTGGAAAGCTTCTGCTGTGCAGCGAGATTGTTTCTGTGGATTTAAGGTCAACCCATGCAACAGTATGACTCATAAGGTGATTTGTGAGTGCTTTCTGTGTTTGTGAAGGCACAGGAGATTGAGGGAAGTTAGGCATGCTGGCTCGAGGCCAGTCCAATCAAGTAGAAAGGTTCAAATCTGCTGTGTAAAAACGAATGCACCTGTCTGCATGCGCACCTGACCCTTAAAGGGAATGAGGGCAGACACAGTGATTGGCCTGATGCCCGAAACAAACCTATGAATAATCAAAGAACTTATTACAACCTCTTTTAGCCTCACTTAGTGTCTGGATTTTGCCGTATATAGGAAAACATGGTCGGATGCACAGTCACTCACTCTGCACCATCTGACATTTACCTTTAAAACATCTCTCATTTTAAAATATCAACAGATGCAAACATTTATTTGTGTTTCCTTCAACTTTTAGGACTTGTCATACATCCCGACCACTAACGAGAAGACAGTGACCTACAGGAGGGACCGCCCCCCTGACCGCCCCCTGGAGATGCACATCCAGGTGCCCAAAATGCCCCTTGGTGACCCCTGGCAATTCTAGGACAGAGGAGAGACACAAAGACTGAGAGAGAAAGAGAGAAAAGCTTCTCCTCTTCTTCCTAACATTCATCAAAGTTCAACCAGCTACGCGTGGAGACTGATCGTGGTATTATCTTTGTAACCTCCATGGAATCAGATTTTTAAATGAAATCCCTCATAGACTGCGTGACAAGTGTGGCCAGTATCCTGGAAATCAAGATGAAACCAAGAGCACAAATCCCCCACCTCCTCTTCTTCCTCTGTGGCAGCAGGGCGGCTGCTCCTTTTCTCACAGGGTAAAGGGTGATACATTCTTGCTTTTTTAGCCACACAGCGGTTACTGCTCTAACTTATTGGTGTGTGAGAGCGTGTTTGTTTAAGTATGTGAGAGGGATGGGTGCATTCGCTGTGTTTTTGCTTTTTATTTATGAGCTCTTATAGTGAAAACACTACATGCCAGAAACTGATTTGAGCGACACTCCAACACTCCCTGTCTTAGTCTGCCCTCTTGTGGTCAGTGTGAGGTACGACATGTTCCTCTGATAATACTGTCTGCACTGACCTCAGCTGTAATTCCTCTTATTTTAACCCACAAAGCACACCAATGAGTCTGTCCTTTTTTACTCCGGCTAGTTTTTCTGGTCATTAGTGGGGTACTTTGTCTTCTTGTGATCTTAAATGTTACATTTTGGTTTTGTTTACTGATCAACTACATTGCGAGTTACTGTTAATGTATTGTATTTCTGTCATTTTCAGTGTGTGTATAGTTTCATATGATTGTCAGTTTGATGATCTGGTTAGATTTGCACTTGAACTTTGATTTTTGCATTATACTACTGAAAACGGTGGGGTCTGCAGGAGCAGGAGGAGCTGTAACGGTGGGTTTAATGGTTGGTTTGCTATAAGTCGGGCATTATGAGGCATTTAAAGCTAATGTAACAAATCCACAACACTGGAATAACACATAATGGGCTGAAAACTGGAAACCGCATCAACATGTGGACTCTTTAACAGATCTAGAACTGTCTGCATGCAGCTGCTGATCATACCAGACTCATTCTAGTGGGAACAAAAAAAGGTACGAATTAGCTCCAACTCATCAAACCAGAGGTCGACTTACATCCCTCATGCACTAGATTCTCTAAAAATGCTAATTTCATGGCGTCTTGGGAGACTTTTGCTCACCCAATCTTGTTCCTCTTTGATTTTTATTTAACACAATGTTGTTTACAGCAAAACCTGCTCTATTTTAATGTAAGTCAGGAACACTAATTATTATTTATTTTGATTTTTTTCTCATTGTATTTATGTTGTTTTATTTTATGATAAGGTTACTTTGGTTACACAGTAGTTAGTTGGTACTGTTCGTGCTAAATAAGAGCGCTCTCTTTATCTCTAACCATGAAAATCATTCAGCAATAAGTGAATCTCATCTCAGCGGACATAGAGTCCAGAGTAACAGCGGCACTTTTTTCTTGTAGTGTGATGTCAATCGACGTGACTAGTTGTGTAGCATGAATGTTATCCTCACAATAAAAATGACTGAGATTTTTCTTTTTTAACCATCAAGTCCTTGAGTCATTTTCTATGAAAAACTATGTTTTTATTGTGAAGAAATTGTGTTTTTTTATGGTTCATTTGTGTATAAGTGTGGGGAAAGTTCAACATGAGGTGCACAGGATTGTGGTCTTATTAGCAAACATACTTGTGACTTCTTTTCTTTTGAAATATAACTTTTATTTCCTGTTGTTGGTTGAATGCAGTTATCTGATGAAATGAATCAAAGTTTGCTGAAGATGGACACGACTGCAAAAGAGACATAGAACTGATGGATCTTGATGTTTAAAGCAATAGGAAGTGGGCAAGATAGTGTTATTTATTAGTCATATAATGTCTTTTTTTTACCTGTCAGGGCAAAATGAATCTTCATGTGGGTCCTACATTGGCTAAAACATATCCACTCATAGCTGTGGTACACTTGAGTAGCTACATGGCAGATATTTAGGCCTATTCCAACTAAAATCTTACCTCACACCAAAATAGTAAAAGCCTCATTTAAAAATATCCCAAATTACACATGTATCAGTGTATATTATTTTTAAATATTGAAAAGGATACAAGTTTTTATTTAATTTCCGTTTTTTAATACTTAAAACTTGTTCATACATGTAGTAAATATCTCCAAAATTGTCCTATTTCATTAATACCAAACTCATTGCTTACAAACAGGTATAACTCATAAAAATGTACTATTATATTTCAGATAATAACACAACTTTAAATCAAGAAAGCACAGGAATAACCTAACCTGGATTTAACTTCCTCCTTTAACTCGAGGGAAAAATGGAGAATAAATTAAGGCTCATATAGTCTCCAGTAACATAAATCGGATCAACTGTAAAGTGTAAAAGTTTATTCTGCAGAGGTTTGAAAATAAATGAGGTATAAGGACACATGTTCATCCACAGCTGGAGTTCATTATAAAGTGCCATTTCATTTTCTGAGTGTCCATGAAAACACAAACGTCCACATGTATTATTCCACTGCACTGTGCCCCTCTATGTTTTGGACAGTCTCTCGCCCCTGCAGCCCTGGAGACAGGCTCGGGCTCCCCGAGAGGCTATTGTCTGTGTCGCTGCCGCCTTTACCGAGCCCCGGCTCCCCGCCTTCCTCCGATCCGTCCGTGTTGTGCGTCCTGGCGTGCTTGCTGAGGTGGTCGGAGCGCATGAAGCGTTTATGGCAAATGGAGCACTCGAACCTCTTCTCTCCAGTGTGCGTGCGCAAATGCCGCTGCAGCTCGTCCGAGCGCGTGAAGCGTTTGCCACAGAAGAGCCAGTTACAGACAAACGGCCTCTCCCCGGTGTGCCAGCGCAGGTGAGCCTTCAGGTGAGAGGTCTTTCCGTAAACTTTCCCGCAGCCGGGGATGTGGCAGCTGTGTAAGCCTCTTCGCCGCGGGCTCGTGCCGCCCTGGCCGAGGCTCTCCGCCTCCTGACAGTTCGGACAGTCGCACGTGGCTCTGCCAGAGTAACGTCGTGATGAGGAGCGGGACGACGCAGGGAGAGAAACCACGGGATTTCCTGACAGCGCAGGTGTCCCTGTTGTCGTGGGTTCCGCGTAAGGGGCCGGGACAGGTGGTCTGAAGCCGTCAAACAGATGCTGTGTGGCGGGGAGCAGGTGCTGAGGGGCTCCGGGGCTAAATGCGGAGCTGTAGTCAGAGCTGTAGCCGCTCAGAGGAGAAGGTAACCCGGACGGGCTCTGTGTGTCAACCCAGCTGCTCCCCATGTCCCACCAAGCTGAAGACCCGTTACTGATATCTCCCATGGGCTTGAACCATGACTCATAGGGATGCGCATGCATCCTTGGGTATATCCCGGCAATGCCTTCCACTGTGGAGGGAAATTTACTCAGAAACACGGACCGCTGCGCATGCATGTGATCAGGCGCACTGTTGTCTGAAGGCGCGGCGGTTTGATACATAGAAAAATCATTCCCAAAAGGAGAGTTGGCCGTGGTCACCGAGAAAGCACTGGAGGAGTCCGTCAGCCCGGACCCACCACCTCTGGTGGCTCCAGGGGGAACCCCGAGCGCGCTAAGGCAGGCCCCGAGATTGCTGGCGCCCGGCGCGCTCCTTTTCCACGGGTGAAAGCCCTTTACGAGTCCCGGGGCTCCATCCGAGAGAGCGGGGGAGCATGAGGGGCTGGGGTCACCGATTCTGCTGCAGGTGGCGGCCAGCATGGCTAGAGGAGTGTTGCCTAGACGAGGCTCCTCCTGCAGGGAAAAACAAACATTTTGGACTGTCACTCCTGAGCTGAGGCTGCATGTTGCGCGTAGAGACGCGTACAGCATTGGCTAGCGTGTTTACTAAGCGGAGACGCAGTTAAAATTAAAAATAAAAACTAATCACTTCATCTTTAAACTTAGAAATATTTGAACAGTTGCGGCCCTTGTCCAAGTGCTTTAACAGCTCCGAGACTAAGCTGAATCTCAAATTTGATCAACCATTAACTGTGTCGTTGCGTTCTCTGAGATTTTGGAAACTTCATGGAAAGAAAGGAAGAAAAAGGATGCTTACCCCTAGCAGTGTAGCAGCCATGGTCTTCCCTGTGCTAAATCCCGGAGCGTGCGTTCTGCTTGTCAGGATGTGAACTCAGTTTCTGCTCTCACTGCTGAAGTAGTTGTATCTTCTTCAGAGCTTTGAGGTGCCGCTCAGAGCCAGTGGACCAATCACAGAGCAGCGCAGCCTGTCTCCTAACATTTGCGCTCGAGGTCGTCGTAAATCTTCAGAGTAAGCTCTCGCGGCTGGGGCGCTCCAAACGCAACAAGTGGAAAACACAATGAGGGAGGAAAAAAGAACGACATCAAAACAACAGATTGCAGGTCTATTTCACTAGAGCAGCGAAGGTTCACCACAGCAGTCGACTAACTGGTCATACTGGTCCTCACGAGCCAAATCTGTATCATAGTTCAGGATGATTGGCAACCCAGTGTGCTTTAGGTTAAGCACGTGCATGCCCTCATTTTGGCAGTTGTTGCAGGTTTATATTGAGATTTTCTTCAATAATGCAAGGTTTTTAATCAATATTTGTACTCACTAAGGCATCATAACACCCAAAGATTCAGGTCAATTATTTCTATTGAAGTAGTAAAGTAATGGTACAGAAAGAAAGCATGAAATAAATGCATCTAAAGGTAGATAGGCACCTCTAAGTCAGGTTAAAGTAGGACCTTTTGAGTTTCATGGGGTGGTGGGTTTAAGTCAAAGACATTCAGGTCTTGAATATTCACAGCATTCAGGCCTATGTGTCAAACAGAAATGTTTGTTTCAGCTGTATGTGGTGAAGTTGTTAAAAAGGAGAAGCTGATAAATGAGAGGCGGCTGTCCGGCCCATCCTTTCCCTGGGGCGTTTCCAGTCAGCCCTGGGGGAGGGAAGGGAGGACACCTCCACAGCCCCTTCAATTTCATCTCTTTCAACACTGAACAAATGCTGACTTTCAAAACACCTCTTCCTGTATTTAGCTCACTTTTATGGATCATTGGAAAATATTTGAAAGCTTCGACTTAAAGGCGGCTACGAAGAAAACCCTCTGTCAAAGAGTGAAATAGGTTATCTCATATCGCTGATGGTTCACCATGTGGTGACGCAATCCCTCACAAAAGGAGAGTAATCTTAATATATTAGCAAACCAAAGCGGGAGCATTTCATTTGAATTTCAAATTTAATAAACAGCAGGATTTAATCCATTTTCTTCATTTGTTTGGTATTAACTGCATCCCAGCCTTTTCTTCAACTCTCTTGTTATATGATCAGCCTAAATGAAGTCAGCTGGACACACACACACACACCACACACAGCCACACACACACACACACACACACACACACACACACACACACACACACACACACAGACATACCATTTATAATCATGATTGATGGTGCACAAGATGAGTTTTGGTGATGCAATGCAAAGACAAATAGTTCACTCCACCAGAGAGCTTACAGTTCATATAGACTCCTATTTGAAAATGCTGCAGGTGTTTCATCTGAAAATACGGGTGAAAGTGAAGGTTGTGAATAATTATTTTCAGCAGCTTAAATGACAAATAGGAGGAATTAACTGTTTTGGTTATAAAGATAAGCTGGGCAGTGATAGGGCACAATATTGAATACATTTGTTATTATTTTGTGAGTCTGCAGGCCTTCACACTAACTGTACTTAAGGCTGACCACTTAAGCCAAATGAGACCCTTGCCTGCTCAAGCTAGTAGTTCAAATACCTTTTCTTTCAAACTAATCAAATGACACATTATCTTCAATAAAAAGCCAACTGCATATTAATTTTTATGTTAAACTTATCCAGATAAAGCAGATGAAGTCGTGTTATAGAAATATCACCGCTAACAAGCTTAAAAAAGCGAATATAATATAATATAATATTATATGATAAAGTATCAGGGCCACATTAAAGCTCATATGAGGAACTTTAAGTTTGTGTCACTTTTGGTGCCCCCTTGGGGAGAAAGCAGTCTTTACATATTTCATCATCTACCCTTGTAGGTTGCGTCTTCTGACAAAAATCTCTTCCTGCTGATTTTTGAGTGTCACATCTACTATTGTGAAAATCTTTAGCTGCTTGGCTGACATGTACCCCCTTGCATCGATTTCTGGAACTAAAAATCACAGTACAAAAATGATGAATTCTGTCACGGATGGTTTCACTTGATTTTATATGTCATAAAAAGACATTGATATGAATTTCAGTTGATTTTACTCACATCAAAAACTCCTTTCAGGAACTTAAAACCTTTTTATCTCTGAATCAGAATTTAAGTTTAAACCAGCTAACTGCAGTTTAATTATACTAAAGTAAACAGTGGTCAATAAACTTTGAGCAAAGAACATTGTCGTATATTCAAATCTCATTTTTCTTGTTATCCAAAAACAGAGAATAATGTGAATTATTTAATTGCATTTGCCACAAAATTAGCCAACAAACAGGACAACTTGAAACCCCTCTCATTGATTTTTATGTTCAGAACTCCTGGTTGTTGAAGGAAAGTCCTGTCTGCTGTTTTTCATTGATAAGTTTGTGTTAGAAAATCCTTTAAAAAGTCAGTTTTTGAAAATTCCAGATAACAAAACCACATTACAGGGTCCCACGCTGTTCCCACCTTCTCACTGCCTGAGGCATGGCCGTGTGCACAGGTGGAGTTTACAGTAGGCCATCTTGCCATCCTCACAAGCCACCCAAACAGCTGTCCCTCTTTTAGATGCATTCTTTTCCCACACTGAAAGTGTGTGTGTCTTTATGTGTGTGTGTGTGTGTGTGTGTGTGTGTGTGTGTGTGTGTGTGTGTCTAGTGTGCTTTAAAGGCCCCCAGTGAAACCCTGTCTGAGCCTCAACCTGTTCCTTTAGCGATGATAATGACCACATTATCACGCGCCATCGGACGTCAACAAAACAAGATTGTCGTGTGCTTTCCCCTCACTTTGTGGGCACTGAGTCAGAAAAAGCAGAGAGAAAAGAGTGAAATAAAGATCTGGCACTTCTCAGGGAGAGGGATGGGCGAGGTGTTTTATTTCTCCTTGGTGTTTTCCTCGATCCCTCTTTTGTTGCTGGGTTAATAGTCAGAGTGATCCAGAGGGCAGGGCGGCCATCTTGGTCAGCTGCCCTGCTGAGACAATTAGCTGGAGAATCAGAGAGTCAAAAGGCAAGCTGCTAAACATGACACAAAAATATTCAGCACAAGCAGGGGGCAAGAGGGTCTGTTTGTGCGAAAGAGGAAAATAAGCTGTTTTGAGTTCTCAGCTGTTTTTACAAGGATAGTGTCAGGATATTTGTGTTATTACTTGAAATTCTGGTAATCTAAGAATACAAAGAGACACTTATTCATTCAGTAGGAGGGTTTGAGTTAGTAATCCACAATGGACTTTGAATTTAAAACTGTTTAAGCTACATTATTTTTAGAAAATAACAGCAGGTTTGTAAAGAAACTGAAATGAAATAGCATCAAATCGCTGCATAAAGTTGTTCAGTTCCAATAAAGGTGTGTCAAATGTAGATGAAGCAGATTTAGAGGGTTTGCAGATCATCTAAACTCTTGATTTAATTGAAAAGGGTGCAAAACCAACATGTTAAATGTTGAACGGGAATTGTTTTGCTGTTTTATTAAAGATAAATGCTCATTTGACTTTATTGCCAGCAGTACAAAAAAAAAAAAAAAAAAACTTGAGGCTGTCACAACAAAACTCCAAGAAAAAAATAACTGTTTAGGCTTAAAAAAAAACTCCTGGAGGAAACTTTGTTAACCAATTAGCTTCATTCACATCAGGTTAGTAACATGACTGAGTATAAAAAGTCCAAAAAAGTTTCGTCTCAGATGTAAAGAATGGAAGAGGTCATCGCTCTGTGAGAGACTGCGAGAGCTGATAGTTCTGCGATTCAAAGAGGATTTCATCATCTTCAGATCACATACTGTCATTATAAGGTGAAGAGCTCCTGAATGCCTGTCATCTACAAACATCTACTTCTGTAGTGAAAATCTCTGCATGGGCTCAAAATCACTTCCAAAAACCCTTCTCCATGAACAGTTATTCATTGCATTCACAAATGCAATTAGGGTTGTAATTATCGTGAGTAATCCCATCATAAGCCCATCCTTTCAATGGTTTTCTTGAGTATGAAGAGTAGGATCAAAACATGTTTCTGAGACTCTTTATTTACCGCTGTATACCTCACCACAGAGACATACCTCTGACTGGCTGACCTGAATTAGTCTCTGGTGCCCTTTAAGCTCAGCCTCTTAAACAAATTGAGAGAGGTAGAAGTCATTCAGGTGAGCTGTGTGCCAGGATGTGCCTGGAGCAGCTCCTCTTCGGCTTCCTGTAATTACAGCGAGGAGAGGGCACGTCCGCAGTCTGTCAGCTCGCAGCTGATGGACGACCATGGCAGCTGAGCAGAGAGATGTGTTCAGGTTGCCGCCATGAAAAGTTAAGCACAAGTGATTTACGGAGGATACCCTTTCACCTGTGTGCACAAAAAAAGAGGATCAATGTTCTTTAAAATACTTAATTCTCCTCATGCAAACACACCTGAACTCCATTATGCATTCATTTGTCTTCATGTCTCTGTGATTGAAGCATCTTTGAGAACAATAGGATTAACCACAATAAATCAACCAGCATGTTTATTCAAAGACAAACAACTTCAACACACTTTTGCTAAGTGTTAAAAGCTGCAACTATTACATGTCTTCTTATTATCAAAATAGCAAACAATTTTCCATGGAGTTTTCAATTGGAGTTCATTTAAGACCCTTGAAATTATAAGACGTTTCTCTGTATGTTACACAGAAATCTTAGACCTTTTCAACCACTGAAAGCTGTCAATACAAAGTGGAAAACTGGGGCCAGATATCTATATTTTATATCATAATATAATGAATCAGTACAGAGTATGGACTCTAAAGTTCTGAAGTCCAGTTATAATAACTTGATTATATGTTTGTGATAAAGAACAGGAATCAATGATGTATCACACATGATTTCACACAGAAATTCATCAGGAGTTGTGCATCACTTCGACATCAGTTAAGCATTAATGATAAAATGTAGTCTAGTTGTAAAATGTTACCCAGGTGCTGATACTCTTCGGTTCCACCTTTACAGTCACCAGTGTCATAAAGGTGGTTCTGATTGGTC